AGATGGGTCTTTTTCTCAGAAAACAGAGTGTTTCGGGCTCTGTAGGTGATCACTCAGGGAGTGGAAGTGGACTCCATCTAACGATGATGGATTCTCTGATTGATTCTCTGCCATCATTAGGATTGCAAGTGTTATGTATATTTTCCAGGACATATACTTAGGTTTCCATCATAGAGCTGCACAGACACTCCACAACAGCTTTAGACCTACATTGGCTAATATTAGGTTTGTCTCTTAGACATTTTTCATGTCATGTCAATGATTCTTCTCTAATCATATTAACGTTTCATGTTTGTTGATGGCATGACAAATATTCCCACTCCTCATCTGTTACCCAAGGCACACATACTGTATCAGTATTTGCACCTTGAGTATGTTTGATTTTTCCTAGCTTGTGCTGTGTGGGTTTTATCATGTCCTTGCACTGTGTTCAGGTATGCTGCAGTCAAGACACTGTGTTGACAATAACCAGAGCAAGTGTAGAACCTTACAACCAGGCCTTCACGCTTATAAGCATCATGACGGTCTTTGTTCTCTTTGCCCTTCTTTGAAACACTCCTCAGCCTGGGACTCCAAATAACTCTCAGAATCATCTCACCATTTCCTCTGTCATCTTCCCAGGGCTTCTGTTAGAGGTCTGTGATATATCTGTTGCAGAGAAGCAAAAAGACTTCAACAGGTCCCTGTATAATTTGAGATTTTGAGCAGAGAAAATCCACTCAGTATTTGCAATAAAACTGAATCTTAACAGTTGGCATGTGTTTGAGGACTTTGTGGTGTCATCTTGATACCTGTGAGGCCAAGAGGATAGTATAGCCTCTTAAATATGCTGTGAAGTTTGTGTTCAGATAAGCTGTAATTTCCTGAGGGATGACTACATACAATAGAGCTAGCAATGGGAATATTAGGAACAGCTGGATGTGGAAGGAAATAGCTTGTTGTTTGATCTAGGATTACAAGTTTGCATTTAAGGCCTGCTCTACTCTCCCTCCAAAATAGTTTGAAATATGGGGATTATGGAACAAAGCTGGGAAATAAACATATTTCTCTCCTCTTTCTTTGTATTCTCCCACTTCTCTATCATTTCTTTAATCTATCTCTCCATTCATCTCTTAATTTATTTATCTGTTCAGTTACCGTACTCATCAAGATAACTGCAGATAATACTGCATTGCTTGCATTGTTACTGTAACATCTCTTGAAAATGAAGTTCATTAGATCTCCTGAGAAGAAGGGGAACAAACCCAGTGTAGTTGGTAGAGCCTTAATCAATGAGATGCACAGGATTATCTGATGCCAAAAAGTGCTCCTGAACTCAAGACTCTGAATACTTGACATATTAAAGTTGCACATATGAATATTCACTTTACATGTTTAGATTTTCTTTTCACAGTAATTAAATTGTTTTCAATAAAATCTGACAATTTTTAAGTTGCAGATTCTCAATCTTGCTGATGTAACTGTAGTACGATTGCTTAGTTTTTATTATGATTATCAGATTTGTTTCATGTTTAGTATGTTTATTTTGTTTGTGGGAAAATTTGTTAACTGTGCTTTCATTGTTTTGCAATTAATGAATGTATAAAAACTTAATTTCCCATAAGTCAGATGGGGAGGTGGGGGAATTCCAGAAAGAGGGAAAGAAAATAAAGGAAGAAGAGACAGAGTGGTGGTTTGCTTTGGGAAAAAAAAATTGGAAATGATCTTTTTTGTATGTTTAAGGCCAATGTGGAGTAACATAAATTGTGCAGTTTACATTAATGCATGTCTTACACAAGTAAGGTTGATGTGGTGGACTGTATATTGTGCAGAGTTTTCTTTCTTAGATGAATGGACAGTGTGGACTGTTTTTATCTACTGTTTCTCCTGCTGCAGAATAAGTTGAGTTGATGTCGCCAAACTCTCCTGTAATGTACCTATACGGTCACTAGGGAATTTCCATCGATTTACCTAAATATTTTTTCCTTTTTTTTAATGAATAAATCTCAACAGGGCAAATGAAAGCCATTTTCAGCAAATGTTTTCATTTGCCTTGTCTACTCATATTTTGAACTTTTTCTTTTTTAGGTTAGCTTATATGGGCGGATTTAGCGTTGTATTGTAGCAAAAACAGCCTGTGTTAATTATTGTGTATGAGCTTTTGTCTTTGTTTACGTTTACACATCCCAGATTATATGCACATTGTGGTTATTTTGGAGTGGTAGTCCACATTATAAGGGAATGATTTGAAATGAACAGGTTGTTCATATTATCTTTAAATACAACCACGGCCTTTTCTGGGTTTCAAAATGTGGGTTTGCAGAATAAGATCTATTCGATTTCCTGGGAGGGGCCGTTGACCACCAGCAATGAGTTATGATTGAGACTCCGCCCTTTCAGTAAGTCAATATTGGCATTGTAACCTGATGGACTGCACCAGGTTTTACCTGCTTGATCCCAGACTATTCCTAGCTTTATTATAATAAGGGTTACATAAGAGGTGTGAGAAAATAAGTCTGTCACTCCATCCATCTGTTTATCTTCTTCATGATCAAGGTCACATGAGGGCCTCAAGTATCCCAGGCAACAAAGTCACTAAGGGCAATGGTAAATGGACTGCATTTATATAGTGCTTTTTACTACTCTTACGAGTACCAAAACGCTTTACAGTTATGCCTCACATTCACCCATCCACACACCAGTGGCAGAGGCTGCCATGCAAGGCACCAACCAGCTCACCGGGAGCAATTTGGGGTTCAGTGTCTTGCTCAAGGACACTTATTCCTAAGATGGAGTCAGGAGGACCCAGGGCTCGAACCTGCAACCCTCCAGTTGCTGAACGGTAGCACTACCTCCTGCACCACCATCGCCCCAGCAGAAGCAGAATGCACAAGCAGAAGATAAGTCACAAAGATTCTCCAGCTAGTTCAATTCACTCCATACTCGTGCAAAGGTGAGGTGTCAGGTGGTCAAGTGAGCCAGCAAGGGCTGCAGAACAATCACCCTAGTACCTGAAAGAAAGCTCACTACAGTCTGGGCCTATTGAACCAATGCTTCAGTCACCTGTGAAGTGAAAAGGAATACAATTGTGGATGTCAGCCAAGGGAGTAGATTTCAGTGTGGATGGTAGAGATATGTCCCTACCGATATTGTGGGACTACAATGTGTGTTTAGGGGGCTAGGGGATTTGGGGCTGATTCGGTCCCTACCAATGTTAAAATCAACCCTAAGCCATTGAAGTCTGCTCCCAGTTGCTGATCTCCGTGAGGCGCCAACTGATTGGAGGTGAAGAGGCTGGGTTGGGGGAACCATCATATGTAGATGGTAGGTTTGGAGGGAGCTCAGTAGCTTTGTGGAAATGAGTTGACTCACCAATAGTTATGATATCACTGCAGCTATGCTTGAAGTGGCAATGGTGCATTCTCACAGGAAACTTGAAAAAGGTTATGGGCTCCAATCTAAAGTTGGAATCAGATGTTGCTGCTAAATGAATTGAATTGCCATAGGAAGGTGTCATACTGTATAAATAAGCAAAATTAGAGGCTTTGTATTATGGGAAGGGATGGTCAACCTGTTCATACAAGGAAATGCATGAGAGAAGAGTCATCTGTGTTTGAGAAAAACATGTTACATACCATGGCTGTGGTTAAAAAAAGCATTTTGCTCATATTGTCTGTCAAAATTCGCCATGGTATTGAGCCCTGGTTATGGATAGGATACCATTTTATCCCTCTCACTAAGAACTGCATAAAAACTGTATTTGGATAGTAGGAGGAGAACCAGATAATCACTAAGAAACCACACAGCAATCAGAGCAAAAGTGAGCAGCCATATTCCTAAGACCCATAAGACAAGCAGCCCTCCAGCTCTGCTCTCCTTGTCATACTGGCTTTTAATCCCAGTGGTACTTTTTGTGTGAAAAATGTTGTACACAGAATGAAAAAAGAGTAAGGGAAAGAGAAGGTTTTTTAGAGGTTTTTTAAAGAAAGTACATCCATTTTTACATTCATAAGTGCTTGGTATAAACAACATTAAATGAATGACACCATATATCTGTGATTCTCAGTTGTGTCATTACTTTATAAAACCCTGCAGTTTCACAGAACCTTAATCAATGGACACCTTCTTAATGTCTTAGAATTATATTTCTACAAATGTTAGAAAAATTGGCTCATAATACCATTTTTAAACCCATATAGATATAGCTATATAGATGTAGAAATTTGTACTTTTTTTCTCAGAGATGCTTTGAGTGGATTTAATACATTTTCATTAACTTTTCATATTACATTCCTTTATCCTTTGTGTGCTGGGATATATTATAAGCACTACCTTTAGTTAGAAAAGCAACAGTTATTACCCAAACAGCACGATGTAATATAGCGACTAGAAACCCAGAAGGAACTGAAAACCCTGGTACCAGTCAGGTACTGTAACAGCTGGGTTGCATTTATGAAAAAAAATGTTTGATTTAAGCAAATCAACTCGCAGAGCAGGAAATCTAAATGATGAGCTGAATAACGGAGAGGCGTCATCACGATGCAGATGCTGCGTGGGGCCGACACCAGACTAGATCAATCAATCCACGTTAGTGATGTCATGGGTGGAGGGGGCACAAGACTGGTGCGCTGATTATGAAATCAGAGATTTCCAGGTGACTGTTGTCTCATGAACCCTTTGAAGTGGAAAAAAATAAGAAGAGAATGCCCTCTTATGTATTTCAAGACACATGAATGATGCCACGTTGTAAGGTCTCCATTCCACAGCAACGTCTACTTTGAGGTCTCATATCCTTTGTCTGATGGGGAGGATACTTGGCTTAAAGCCTTTTCTGATGACATTCACCCCTTTCTCTTACTTTATTTCCAACTTGCATATGAAGATGAAGAGGATGAAGAGGACGTTTTTTAACATAAAATGATCTGTCAGTTGAAAATTCTGATTGGAAACACATCGACTAGCAAATATATTGACTGTCCACAACCTAACGCACTCCAAAACTTAAATTAAAGGTAAAAAAATAAATATTCAGCATTTTATTAATATATGAAATAACCTCAGTTTTAGTTTGTGGATATAATGTCATTTTTTTCTGAAATAATTCAAGACGATGAAAAAAAAACTGATCAAAAGATCCTTTAGAAGTGTCCCGGTAAGTGTGAGAGTTCACGGGTATGTGAATCTGAACGCCAGGCATCATAGGTCTGTACAAAGGCCTACTGGAAGAGTCCAAAAGCAGACCAGTAGTGCAAGTAAGGAGAAGGATGGGCGGAGCCAGAGGGGCGTGGCCGAGTCGGAGGTGCAGGAGCACACCTGGTAATTGCTTCCTGCATGACTGGCACGGTGCTGCCCACGCAAGCGCGTGTCTGTGCCATTGACATCCGGGGCTGGAGAGTCCGACAGCATGTCCGCACAGAGCAGCCAGTCTTTGCCGATGGGCCGTGGGTAGCCGGCCTCTACCTCCATGTCGCTGCCCCGCACGCGCCAATACTCTGCCCCCTTGAAGAAGTAGGAGGCTCCTGGGGAGGAAGTTACAACGGGAAAAACCATCAGATGTTTATAAACCAGCACATGTACATTGTCTTTTAACTGATGTGGGTTACATTTCCTCTCCTGCTCTTATGACATTCTTCACAAAGTGAAATAAAAGCTGTTTCAAAGCAGCTGGGGTTATGCTGAAGGTAGAACGAACTCATCTGGAAACCACTACAGTTTCCGAATCATCTTTGAAATACACTTCTGTATTCCATATCCATATATACTTACACACACACACACACATTTATATATATTGTTTAGTCTACAGTGTAAAAATGGGAACATCGTGACAGCTTATCAAAGCCTGAATTTGCCCCTCTCTCCCTCCTCCTAAGTGTGATGAAAATGCTAAGCCACTCTTTAAGAAGCAAAATGCACAGGCCTTTCACGGACCACTGGTTCTCCAGAACTTGGGTAGCTATGGAGTTACGTGGTGACTGTGGCTTTTGAAGGCTTAACGGCTTGTGGCTGGACCTTGGCACTATGAGGTCCTGGAGCTGCCTTCAGGCCAGCTGGATGAAACTGTCCAACCGGGGTTGCGGAGAGGGGGAGGGGGAGTGAACAGGAACTTCTCCTATTGCAGCACGACCGTGAGTTTCTCATCGGGTTAACATCCGACAGCTGCTGAAAACTGCTGAGCGTGACCATTAGCTCACAGCAAGGGCTGGACATCTTTATTAAATGACTTGTGTTCAACGGATTGGATGTCGCCGCCAAAATACAAAAGAGCTGAGAGAATCAGGCTGATTCCAGAGTAAGCAAACAGTAAACCCAAGCTCATGGGCCCTTGCCTGCGTACATCTGTCTGCTTGTCTTATTTCAGAAGGATCACAACAAACCCTACCACATTTGCTTTGAGGAAGGCCTCCATCTGAATGTACAAACGGAAAGCAGCATGGAAATTTAATCAGATTTGATCCCATGTTGTTCATTTTGCCTGAAACTAAAAGGTTTTTGCAGCAAAACCCCCCAATTTGGTCGATGTGTTTGATTTTTGCTGTATTGACCTAGACAACAAGCAACCCAAATAAAGAAGCCAGACTGATAAACTCAGACATTGGCATGCTTCTTTTGGCTTAGTCTAATCCTAAGAATTTTTATTCAAATCATAGCCATGATCTGTGTAACGCAATGTCAGTTCCTCCTGCTCCATATTTGTCCGTCTGATTGAAGTCCCTCACCATCAGACCAGCGTGTGGCGTCGTCCAGCTGTGCTGGGATCCCCTTCCACAGCACGCTGTCCTTGGGGTAGCCGAGGTCCATCCGATGCAGGTAGTCGTCATAGCGCCAGTATTGGTCACCCTTGAAGAAGTAGGTCTTGTCATTGTGTGGCCAGACAAAGGCAGCATCCACACCCTCCGTGGGTAAGCCAAAGTCACTGATTGGTCGGGGATAGCCCTCCTCCACGTTGTTGTCTTTGAACACCCAGTAGTTTAACCCTGAGAGTGTGCGTAAGGGTCAGTAGACAAACACAAGAACACTTAACAAAAATACACTACAACAAAGACCATTAAGATGAACTTTTCTGAATGATCCTATAGCTAATAAAAATAAGAGGTACTTAATACTACTTTCATTTGTTGCTCACAACAGTTAAGAGTCGCTAACATTACAGACAAGGGCGTCGGAGGGTGTGAATACTCTGGCAGATTCAGGAGGACCAGCACTATAATATATCAAATTATAAGTTCTTGGGAAACAATAAATGGCCAATTCTTCTGTGGGGAACCCCCCCCCCCCCCAACAAATTTTATGGTCATGCTAGTGAGGGTAGGGTGAGGGTGGGGGGGTGGTGGTGGGTGGTGGGGGTAGGGCGAGGTGACAGTTTGAGGCATAGAATTTCTAGCTATGCCTCTGCTAACAGACGACCATTACTGCCTGAATAGTTAGCGGAACTGGTTTATATTCAACCTGTCCCATTGTCCGAAAGTACTACAGTAGGTCCATTGAATCCTTCCAGTACCTTTAAAAAAGACAATCTTGTGGTCCCTGGGCCTCTCATACACAGCATCTACGCTGTCCAGGGTCGTAGGCAGGCCCCTCCAGAACCGGTGGATCTGGGCTGGACGCAGGGACACCAGATGTTTCTCCCTCGTCAAGCGCCAGAAGTACTTCCCTAGGAGACCGGTGGAAAGCAGACAGTCCACTGTTCACTACCAAGTGTTTTTTTTTTCATTCTAACTGCCTCAAGAAGTAAACAGGAGAAGGACATATAATCTGCTGGGTAAACAGAGTGAAATCCTGGTTCACTGGGAGCTGTATGCTCAGCCGTGGGTCAGGTGGAAGCTGCAATGTTGTTCAGAGGTGGGAGGGATGTTTGGAAGGAGAATCATTGCTAAAAACAAACCAGCAGGACCAATAACTGCTGTACCCATGGGGATTAGGCCTGTTTGTCTGTATGTGGGTAATGTAGGGCGGGGTGGCTTTTAATAAATCAAGAGTAACTCAAAAGCCAATATGTAGCCAGAATGCTTTCTGACATTTTTTTCCTCTCAGTATCAAGTTACCAGCTTGTTAATTAAAGCAGAGAGGCAGCTTTCCGGATAGTAAACCCTGAGGCAGCTCTGTGAAAGCATGCAGATGAGAAGCAGGAAGTAAGTGCCAAAGCCAATGGCTGCTGCTCTGCCTTTTGCCACAGATTTACCTTTAAAGAAGAATGCCTCTCCCCGAATCTGGGCCACCGCGTCAAAGTGAGCGCTACATCTGTCCGGGATGTCACTATCAGGCCTGTAGAAGGGCAGAGTTGGGTGGAAAAGGTATGAGTTTAATGCTGCTTGCTTGATAAACAAGGAGCTGCAAGTGTGAGTATTTATGTTTGTGTGTGTGTATCTGTGTTAGGTACAAAGGTGTAATATACTGTTGTGGCTGGTGGAAATGTGTGCATGTATGTGTTCAGTGTACAAGGATGGCCAAATGAAACTTTTTCTGTATTTTTTGACCCCACTAGATTTCTCTTTTTGAGTAGAGATCATGATCTACTGGTGTCAGAAAATACAGCAGTTGGTTCATAAAGCTTCTTAGCCATCACTAGTGTACAGAGATAAATTCATAGCAACAATAAGAAAATGGTTGAGTCACTCCTTGACCTCGAATGACGACCTGTTCAGAAATCAGGCTCTCTCTCCAGTGCCCCAAAGGGTTTGGTGGCAAGACTCTAACTCACAAGATAGTGGACCTGTTTTCAGGGAGATCCAGCAGCACTGGCTGGTCGGAACCGTGGGAGGTGTCTGGTTGAGCCGTGTGAGACACTGAATCTCTCACGCCTGGGGAAAGACAGAATTGGCAATGAAAAGATGCTGTGACTCATGGATACAGACAAAGCAAACGATGGAGACACTGTTCATGAATGTTCTCCATGAATGTATGGCAGTCAGGATATTAAAAAAATGTGTTGGACAACAGACAAAGAGCACAAAAACTTCAGGTTCACAGTATCACTAAATCTCTGAGGTATCATGCCAGACTTTACTACAGTTGTATATTGGCCCTATTCTTCCTCCATGAGGTGATGCAGTAGACATATATGTGCGCCCACAGAGCAACAGTGGATAGCTTAACAACTGCTGTTTGTTCTTGCAGGAGGGGGTCCCAATTTCATCTCAGTCACTGCAAAATCTTTTTGCACCTTTTGAAAAATATAACTGTATTGGATGAGTATATTTCTGAATATTTCATACATCAGTATATATTGTGGACAGTCTCTGGTCATTGTGTGAAGGAACACCGAATGACAAACTGATTCTGTAAAACAACACGAGTGGACCAGACTGAGGCAAACAAGATCCTGAAGACTGGGTGCCAACAAAGGCCACGTCTCTGAGATGTACCAATGAGAGGCATTTAGGGTAGAGTCTGTAATACTGTTGTTGAAAGCAATCAAAGGCAGACACCAAAACAATCAGAAACAGACACACAAGCAATCAACTGAAGAACAGGCACATATGTTAGTACAATGGAACTTATTCAGCAAAAGTTAGATCAGATAATCAAGGATCGATGCCGCCATATGTCAATGACGACCCTAACACCAGCAAGCCTGTGCTGTATGACAGCATGCCACTCTCATCCCACTGCCGCCACCTCCGCGGCCTCCTGCCTGAACGTGGATAGCATTGCAGGCCGGTCCACACATCTACTGGCAGATATGCAAGCTTTAATCACACTTGATGGAAGTTCAAAACCTGCGCCCACAGCTCCGACATTGAACAATTACATCTGCAAAAGTAGCACATTCATTCAAGGCAGCACAAACTCCCTCCTTAAGGTTCCTGTACATTTTTGGTGCTCTGATTGCTTTTATGCAATTGATTTTACAATAAAATCATTAAGCATGAATACATATAGGAAGCCCTAGGTTTTCATTTATCCCATCTTGCTCTCCTGTGAGACACATAGACACAGGTCAGAGTGAAAGTTGGAGTCATAGGAGAGTGTCAGCCATTGGTGTTAAGGTGATAAGGATCCTCTACCAGACCCTTCATCTAAACTCCTAACCCACAGAACAACACGCCACCCTCAACAGATATATGGATATTGATGAATCTGAAGAGTAACTAGAGCTTCTTACACTTGCTGCCACTGAGGATCATTCAGGTTCAGAAATCTTTCTTGTTCATTTTTTAAAATTTATTTAGTTTTTCTGCATTACTCTTTCATCTGCTATTCATTTACCGATAACGTAACGTAGACTTTGTGTTAGACATAATATCAAACATCTGGGAATTTCTAGAATGCTACAGATAGGAAGTCCACTTACCGTAAAGTTGCCAGATGCGGACTTTATCCTCGTAGGGGAGGCTGTACTTGAGCGGGTCGCCCACAGGGCCCTGGTAGTATGGCCGCATGATAGATGCCATGGCGGAGGCGTGAGCCAGGCCGATGGCATGTCCAAACTCATGCACGGCCACCGCAAACAGGTCCATCCCGTGGGAGTCTGGGAGAGGAAGAGTAGACAGTGAAATATGTACGTGTTGTTTGATAGACAAATATCAAACTAATCTGGTTAACTTGTAGGATCTACATTAGTTTATAAACTGATGAGTATGAAATGGTACCATCCCTCCATGCCTTAGACCTTGTCTTTAATGCACATTTTGTGATGAGCTTTGCAAACGTGACATGGGCATTGAAAAAAAATGTATTTTAAAACCACGTAAAGATCATCACACTCTAAGCTATGTGGCAGCCAAACATCAATGCAACAACTTGATAATGAATTATGCATAGTGAACTCAATACTTAGTGCCTGTTTACAAAGGGGTCATGGTCAGGGGTCATGGCCAGGGGGATTACGCCCCCCCCCCCCCCCCCAAGGAGGCTATTGTGCAGGGAAACCTTGCTGTCTTCATTGCTAAGATGAGATGTTTGTTCCTTCTGCTGCATTGCATGTACCTTCCTTCCTTCATCATGACACTTTTGGAGCCAAAGACAATATAACTATAAAGGCAAGAAGCAAGGCGGTCTGCAGGTTACAGGCAGCAGAGAAAAAATATGCCTGGAACACATTTAGTTATTGATTGTTACTGTGCAGCTAGATATTTGCAATTCAGCACTTATCCAATCAAACCTGACTTCTTGCATTTACATCCTGTTTGGTTAATTTTACTTAGACTTTTTTCCATGGAACTAATTCGTATTGAAGGCTCCCTCTTGTTCATATGTCAAGATGACGCAGCTACAGACATAACGTGACTGTGAATCATTTTGAGTGCACCACTTGTGACCGGTTTCATTATGTCGGAGGGCTCGGATGCACTGTGAGATGCTGCCTGCTCTTTGTCAGTGCCGGCTACCTGCTATTTTCTGTCCAGTGTGCCGCAGTCCAGTACTCACTTTGACAGGAACAGTATAGGCATCGTGGCACCATGATGACTGGCGTTCATGTTCAGTGTGCCTTACAATATAGCGTTACATCACGTTAGAGAAATTCATCCCTATTCTCTTCATGGACAACTATGGGGATTCATCGGGCTCTCTTTGATTAAAAAATACATCTCATGTCACTGGCAAACCACTTTCAAGAGGAAAATGTCTTTCTTTACGTAGAGTGTATTAGATGCCAATAGGTGGCTTGCAACACTGTATCCTTGTAAGGGAAGAAATGGCAGATTTTTCCAACCCACTCAGTCTTGCTGAAGCACACACATATCACTCTCAGCTCATCGCACGCCTTGCTGTGGCAATTAACTGGCATTCGGCAAAACAAAATCAAACTCACTTATTGCTTCAGATTCAGTGAAGAACAATAGAAATCTGCATGTGGATATAAAAAAAGTGAGGTATGGGAGCCTCTCTAGTAAAAACACAGGAAAAGCGAGTGAGATGTGACAGGAAAGGTGTATTTGTAAGTGACAGTGGCCCGTCTTCCCCAAAGCCCTGTTTGACGAAGTACCCATGAAGCGGCTAATGTTCGCCCGCCAAATTATTAACCTGCACACAGGGGACAACTCAGCGCAGAAAATTGACCAGACTGGAGCTCTTTCTCCTGAGCTCGTTGTCTGGTGTCTGGAGCTCACACTGTCGGGCCAATCGATTAATATATAAAAAAAAAACATGTCAACAGGCTCTGTGGATTCCATTTTTCCTGTTTTTGGAGCAGGAAACAGGGAAACAGCAGCCAGTCAATGAGTTGTTTTTATCAGTAAGTTTGTCAAGCAATTGAAGTGCATCCTCACAAACAATAGCATGTGTATATTTTCCTGGGTGGCTGGGGGGGGGGGGGTCAAAATTGGAAAAAAAAAAACCAAAAACAAATCATTGTAGTGAAAAAAAAGTTCTTTAGTTTATCAGTGTCCTTTTCCATAAAACTGTTAGTTTATTAATCTTGTATATATCTCATATATAAAGATTCACAAAATATAAATAATTTTCTTCTTGGAATTTTTCATTTTTAACTTTGAGCTGCCTCTTTGGGTAGGTTGTTGTTTAAAGAATAATACAAATCTGTATCTGGACTGTCTATCTTCTGCAGACTTAAAGATGCCATAGGTTTACTATGGTGCTTGACTGTGGATTATAAAGCCAGTATGTAAAGAAACGTTGGTACAGTAACACTTCACTTGAGGAGGCACAGATAATGTAGCACTAGACTCTTAATGTATTAATTAACCAGAAACTAAGTGTTACTTATGCACTGATCATCATTAATTAATGATACTGGTTCATGTATTTCATGCAGGTACAACATTTGTTCATGGTTTGCACTTGAGTAGTGACTGACTTACTAAGGTACCTGCACCCCCCTCAAAAAAAGTTCTGCTGAAATTTTTTCATCAATTGGACCTACACTAGTCCCAGGCTTGTGAAAAAGGAAACATGACACTCACTAAAATACTTTCCATAATTGGACCATAAAACGTGCCATGTAAATTCGGGTTCCTGAAGGAATCAATTCATTCAAATGCATGTAAATTAAGTCAAACAAATTAATACATTTGTCTGGTTATTTTGTGCATGTAAACACAGGTTAACAGGGCTTTCAAGTGGCAAAGGAGATTTGAAATAAACAGCTACCATCAGAAGAACAATGCAATATTTTTGAAACCCAGCAGTAATGTCGAGTACCAAGCATGTCCGCGACAGGTCTGATTGCTCTCATCTTCTGCAGTTTGAACGTGAGGATTGGATATTGAATAACATATGTTATTATGGATAATATCAAAAGCAGCCAAGCCCCATAAAGCACTATACGGGGAGTATGATTTTGTAAGTACTTCCATGTTTTTGTATTTGCAACGCAACGGACACTAAACTTTAAACAGTCTCATAAATTAGCTACCTAGCTAGTGTAGCTTCACTTATGGCAGATGGGTAATGTAGCATAGCTTGGTTGCATCATGAGGCTTGATTACTAGCTGACTGGCTGATTGACATGATATTATAGTCACATTTTGTGCCGACTGTCATTTCAAGCAAAGTTACATTAACTCATATTAGCTAGCTGAGTAACTTACCTTCAAGATGCTATATCCTGTCTGTATTTGGTGGAATCATCGTCACTGGCCTGAATGGGCCAATGACAGTCCAATCACCTTGCCCAACCATTTATGTCCAACCCTAGTCTACATTAAAAGTCGTCTAGATTAAAACTCCGTCAATGTTTAAGTCCTCACCTGAAGGAGACCTGAAAGTCCAGGCCTCATCGTTGTCAAAGTGAACATCTCCGGCAGTGACACTGTCCCCTGGGTAGAAGGCGTGCGCCACGGTGCCTCCGGGTCCATCGAAGGGGTACCCATCATTGTGGTCGGCCTTCGTGAAGTCGATCTGTATGTCTGCCTGGTTGCCCGCCACCTCGTGGAAGTCGAGAGGCGCGATGTCGCTCCACACCTTCAGGGCATAGTACATCAGGGCTCGCACTGTGTCCCTCCCCAGCAGGTGAGACTCCTTTGGGAAAGTGCGGATCCTGCAGGGAGAGTCAAGAGAGAGAGAAGCCCAGGTACAAAGAGACAAGATGAGCAATACAGCTGTGTTTTCTAAAACTTCCAGAAACTTTAATAGCATTCTGGTACCAAAGAAACTCTAAGCCACATAGTCTCCAGTTATCCAAGGTGCAAGTGGCCTAAATGTCTTAAATAAACATATAATTCAGTCTTGTACTCCTGTGTCTGCGAGCGCAAATGAAGTTATGAGGTAGCAGACTGCCGCTTACAAGCATGTTCTCCTTCGGGAGCCAGGGGCTGCTTCACAAAAATAAGGAAAATTCTATTTCCGGGGCCTTTCTACCACCGTCCACTAAACTTGACTTTAGAATCAAAATCTGTGTATACATGCAATACACAACCTCAGAGTAGGGTAGCAGTATGCATTAGGGATTCATTTATAACATTCTATCCTAATCATATGGGAATATTTTGCTATATATTGAGGTGCATGTATTTATTCCAACTACGGTGCTACACTTAAGGGCAAATTCCAATCCAATTTTATGTTCCAAATCATAATATACAGCATGTGAGCTCCTGCCCTGAGGCGTTGAGTCATTTGCGATCACCCTCTCTAGTGATATCTACTGTTTTAGTAGAACTTTTAAAGGTTCTCTTCTCTAAATGTGTAACACTCCTTCACGCACCCTACAGCTGGAAGAGTAACATGTACTGGGCAGTTGGCGACACACAATTCATAGGAGGTGCATGCAGGTCATCAGCAGAAGTTGCCAGGAGAATTTTGTGTGCCAGGGGACCTGGCCATTAAACTGATTTATAATTGAGGGAAAAGTCAATTATCTAGAACTGAACATTTACATTTTCCTAAAATAGTTAAGATTAAGTTCCTCCCTCTAGTGTTAACCTCTCAGTTAAAGAATATCTCCTGGTATCCAGTAGGTGACATAGAGCTGAACTGCATCTGTCAAGTTTATCGTTATTGAGTTGTATTAAAACCCTATTATTTTGATGTTGTGGGGACCATTTTTCAGGTCCCCACACAGTTCTGTGAATGCAATCAGAAAACTAAAAATGCACAAAGTCTCAAATTTTGTTTGGTTACTTATGATTAAGGTTAGGGCTGGGTAGGGGTTAAGCTGGGGTTAGAACTGTCTACTCCGTCTCATTTCCTATCTCCCTTCTAGTTTCAATGTATTCTGCATTTTGGACAATTTTTGAAAGTGATTAACTATAGCATTGCTGACAGCTGATTCCTAACGTTTGACTGCCACTGGATAAAACAAATTATAAGTACCTACTGTAACCCCAGGGTATCTTTATGATGTCTGGCTTTAAATGGAAAAGACAGTGAGCCGCTTTCTATCAGTGTTCTGCTAATATGCCAATTTACATTGCTCCACCTTTCAGGGGACAGCAGGGCATTTTTAGTCTAATTCTGTAATAAATATCTGCAAATACTGTGGGTTGCAATACTAAGGACGACACAATAAACTGAGCTCTTCTGCTCCAGAGACAAACTTAGTTATACCTGGCTATCACTTGCTGAGAAAATTCAGGCAAGTACCAAAATACAAATATTTCAAACGCAGGATGCTGTCATTTTCCCAATTGTTCTGGATTGAAATTCAATAAATGGGGTGAATTGCACTCCAGTGAAATTGATTAAAAGAGCAAAGCAGAGGCAGTCTGTGTCTGGTGGGAATTTTTGATGATGTTATGATGATGCTATATACTTGGCCTATAATATTTCTGTTCTCTCATTTGAAACCAACATATACAAAATTGTTACTTCAAAGCCTTTCCATGCATCACTTTGCACTCTTCATTATGTGATTAATGGCTAATTATGCAACTCTTGATTCTGATATTAATTTAAATAGTACTGCAGCTGACATTATTCTGTTTTAAATAGCCTCTTTTTGGGAAGGTTCATAAACCTGAACAACAGAGGGTTTAAACCCAAGTGAAGTTTTTGTACTTGACTGACTAAAAATCATGGATAAAACAGGACTTGCACTCCTGGGCAAAAAAATAGGCCAAACCCTAATTACACAAAATTAAGCTTTGGCCCATTTTTTTCTATGCCCAGGAGTGTACAGTACTGTGCAAAAGTCATAGGCAGTCAAAGAAAATGACTTGTTTAAATGTTTAAATGATCTTCATGTTGCTGTGAAACTAAGATATTATGTTGTCAGCCTTTTCAAAACTTCACCTGAAGTCACCAAATAGTGTTTGCAGCAACTATCCAACACACCCATGATTTTTTTTGACTCAATCACTATGACTCAACCAGTTTTATATGGCAAATCAATATCTCATTGAATTATTTAACAAATCAACTTAATAAATTAATTAATTGAGCTGTCGGTGAATTTTAATGAATACGTGGAACGGTACCCCTGAGCAGAGGCTTGGGAACTAAAGTGGTGATCTTCTAACCGTCCAACAAGATACTGTACAATTCAATTCAGAACAGATTAAATTCTTGTTAGTTTATTCTTACTGATAATTTGCATATGTTCTGAAGTTAGTTTTTTTTTGGAGAAAATGCACATTTACTACCCAGATAAATAGCTTTAACCATTTCTTTTGACCGCCTAGGACTTTTGCACAGAACTGTAACTATTACAGATATTGTGACAGCAAGCGAGCTTTCCTAAGGACAACAGATGCTGTAAAGACGAAGCCCCAGATTCTGTCCTCTAGGTCCCAATAAGACAAGAATTAGATCTCTGCTTGTTGGTATTGTGTCAGGACACACTGCAGTGAGGGCCTTCAGAGAGGGCCCATGAGCTTGCGTCTGTCTGATGTGCACATGTTACTGAAACTAAATGATTCATTATCTGCCTTTTGCACCAGATCAAGTACACATACAGTACACTGGAATGCTTATACATTTACACCCCCCCCCCAATGTGTCACAGTATCTATTAGAGGACCAGCAGAAATGGGAATGGGAGTCAAACACAACTAGCATCACACTGACAATATGAGAAATACATCTCAGGATTAAATTTTTCTAGGTGGGAAAAAATTGTCTGCCTTCCAGAAGCAAGCTGTTATTAGACTTTCATTTATAAATTCAAAAGACAAATAACCTGAAGTAAGGTACTCCTTTTTTCAAAACAGAATCTAATAAGTTAATGTAATATCTATGATACTAAAATCTATTCCAGGCTTCACTCTGGATACCCAGATGTACAGCAACCCTTTGATGATTTTCAACTATTTTCCTTTCCACTGCTTTGTCTACCCGTTGACACCATAACAGAAAGTTCAGGTGGAAAATCCAGATGTAGCTGTCAGTTTATTTGAAAGTTTATGACAAATAAACATCTTTCAGTTATGGCATCTGGTGAAGACAACAATATGGAGTGGCATCTCCTATAATGCACTGTGCTCCAGGATACCTCCAAGACAGGTGCCTCTTGCTCCACTTGGTCTGAGATGGTAGTGCGCGTCTCCGCCGCCTCAGAGGTGACTCTGACTGTGAAAGGTCAGGTAGAGAGCAGCGCGGTGTCTTCATCAGGACCAGGGTCTCTTCATCTGAAGATGAGATGTTCATTGATATAGAGTCATGAAGAAGGACAGGTCCAAAATACAGTCCAACATCTACATAAACCTGTATAACTAACTGGATATGCAAAATATACAGAAAATACTCTAAACACACCAACTAAAAAATATGAAACAGACACACACTCACATGTATACACTGACCTGTACTCATATCTTTGTGGAAACAGTCCATTCATTTCTATGGGCAAAACCCTAATCCCAACAATGACAACCTTAACCCCTACCCAGTCTTAACCTTAAGCATAAGTTCGCCAATGTGGGGAAGCAATAAAAAAGGCGAACAGAATGTTGGGTTATACTGTATCTCTAGATGTGTGGAGTTTAAGTCAAGGGAGGTGATGTTACACTTATATAATTCCTTGGTAAGACCCCACCTAGAATACTGTGTGCAGGTTTGGTCACCATACCTCAAGAAGGACATTGCTGCCTTAGAAAAGGTGCAACGAAGAGCTACGAGAATGATTCCTGGTCTTAGAGGAATGTCTTACGAGGAGAGGTTAGCGGAACTGAATCTGTTCAGCCTTGAGCAAAGGAGACTAAGGGGGGATATGATTCAGGTCTATAAGATTCTAACGGGTCTGGATGCTGTTCAGCCAAATGACTATTTCAATATTAGTCGAAATACTAGAACTCGTGGCCATAAGTGGAAATTAGCGGGAGAACATTTTAAAACAAATTTGAGGAAGCACTTCTTTACACAGCGTGTAGTTAGAGTATGGAATAGTCTTCCTGCTATTGTAGTGGAAGCTAAAACCATGGGTTCCTTTAAATCAGAGCTAGATAAGATTTTAACAACTCTGAGCTATTAGCTAAGTTCTCCCCAAACGAGCTTGATGGGCCGAATGGCCTCCTCTCGTTTGTAAATTTCTTATGTTCTTATGTTCTTATGTTCATAGGTAATCAAACAAAATGCAAGTCTTTTGGAATTTTTTTAGCTTTTTGACTGCAATCACAGATTTTGATAAAATTGAATTTCCCTATGTGGTAATGTAATATATATTCTGACCCACAAAAATACACATTGATATACACACAGATTTCAGAATTTAATATGTGGACATACACACAGAAACATGCCACACATGCACACACACACACACACACACACACACACATGCACACGCACACATACTGACCCAACACCCCTGTTTCCTCCAGACCGCCAAACTTCTGCATGGCTTTTATAGCTTTGGTCAGAGCCTCCTTGGTCTGCAGCTGTCCTGTCACAGGGTCTGGGGGTGGGAGGTACCCAAACTTGCTCAGCCAATCCTGTGAGGGCAGATTACCATGTCAAAAAAGAAGCCCTAATCATCTCCTCCTGCAGCCTTTTGTTTTGTCTGGCCCTGCTTTCATGCTTAAACCTGAAGACAAACCTTGCCATGCAATAGAGTGTTCTAGATCTCTCACTCTCAGATGTGGACTGTACTCCATGCTACCACTGTCAGTCCGGGGACTACAGACATTTTCTTGTATATTCAGTCTATCAGCTGTGTGATCTGTTCCTTCAGGCAAATGTATAACCACAAAACCTGTACGAACCAGTTAAAGGAACATTACTCTTTGAGTTCTTTCACATCTTTCACTGGATGATATTACACTTCCCACGTTTCTCATCCATCAACACCCACACACTAAGCAGAGCTTGATGGAGCTCATTTGGTTGCACACCAGTTTCGAGGCTGAACCAAGAGTCAAGTCAGGGCTATCCAGCAGCACCTGGTGGAACCAGCTGCTGGGGACGGTTTGGTCGGTTGTCTTCAGCTGAGCTGATGCTTTTTGGATCATCTAATGGACACCATCACAAAGATATAACCGGTGTCCTGTCATGCAGCCAAACCGGACGGCAGGAAAATCTGTTAACTAGACAGCCTCATTTCTGCGGCTTCCAAGTCAGACAGTGAGAAGTGGCCGATCTTCCATGTGGAAGATCTGCGCAATCACTTTCTTCCATGCACACACTCTCAGCAAAGAAAAGAAAAACATTAAGGAATGATGGCATCAGTGGTTCAGCTAAAAATCACCAGGACATGGATGGTACAAAGGATCTCTCAATCAACAGAACCGGGACACAATTAGCTTATCATTTGGATGGACTCCATTTATCCTCAAACTGCCAGTCCTCCCTCCTTAATTACTGGCAGTTGAGAAAGTCACCTCTCTGGGAATTTGCTTAAGTGTGAGTGCAACCAATCGATATTGCAAAGAATCCTGGGGGAATCGGCTGCCTAAGGGGGAATTCGTGAAATTTGCTTTGGGCACCAATATTTCCAGATTTAAAGTGCTCCTCTCGAAAATCGCCGGCTGAACTCAAGCTCATCCAGTTCATTAACTCACTGGATGAAAGGTTATGATGTCAAACACATCCAGGAGAGGTCAAATGGATGGCTTATGCGGCGAAACCTGCACAGACAAGAGGTTAATTCAAAAAGTGGGAAAATTTGCATTTTTATATACTTCTGGGCCACAGAATTCCAGAGAGATTATAGAATGAAAGGAATCTCATTTTCAGCACTAATTGTCAATCATTGTCAAGTGAGAGGCAAGGCGGCATCTTTTGGTGTTTATTGTGTATGTTTTTGGGAGGAGCTCTTTGTTTCTCAAAGCATTTTCCCTTCACCATTGACACTGCGAACTGAAGTAGGGCTAGTCTTTTTAAAACAGCAGCAATAATCTTTCACGGAGATCAGAGTCTCTGTCGCTTTCCCTCGGATCCCAGCAGCCAGCAGGAAAAACAGGTGCGATCTGTTACACACTAAGATCACTCCTGTGATGGTTTCTGGCAGCCGTGCACTGGAATCAGCAGGCGGCAGCGCAGAAACCAATGTGTCGCACAGGATGCAGCTGTGCAGTTAACATTCGCACTTTATCCTGGGAAAACAGAGAGTCAGAGATGACATAAGATGCAAGGAAAAGTAGCCCATCCTACGGAACATAGTGTGACTTCCAGGGACAAAAAAAAATATGGTGTGAATCGCATCTGTCTTCTGTAGCCTCCGTTACGCACTGCTAATATTCTACGGGTCTCAGGGAGCAGAAAAAAACACACATAATGAATTTTTTTGAAGATATTGTTCCTTTTCAGGTAATTGCAGCAGTAGGGAACTTAGATCCCGATAAGCAGCTGAGAAACAGTGAAATTTGCCAGGAAATCATCTGAGGGCTTCAGCTGTGTTGTTTAATGGGAGGGAGGTCACAGGCTGATCCTGGGTCTTAATGAGAAACGTCTAAGTGAAATGCTTTGAAGAGTTCCAGAGCACAATTTCGTGAGTGGGGATACATAAAAATAGGAGGAGTGACAGAGGATTGCTAGGCTGTTCGCGGCACAGCGAAATTCACAGGGATCCAGCCTTACAATGAAATGGCATAGTAAGTCTCTCTTCTGTCCACCCTGAAATGGAGAGGGGCGGTGGGGGGGGGGGGTTGACTGTAAGGGTGGGATGGGGTTTATCGGGCCAGGGTGGTCATGATTGCATGCACCAGGTTCTCCAGTACTCAATAAGCAATTTGAAGATAGGTAGGTGTATAGATGAGATTTAAATGTCCTTGATGTGTGGGATCACATGTGAAATATATATCACATAATTTGATATAACAGTACAGGCCAAATGGGTCACACTGCAAATGAAAATTGATTAATTAAAGTGCCAGTATAATTAATATGGTTTCCTTGAAGGCAAGCTAAATCACTGCTCAGAACAGAAAACAGATGGACTCGTATCTGTGTCTTTGATCCAACCGTTCCAACTCCGCAGAGGATGCTTGTTTTTTTAATGCAGGAAATCGGACTGCACATGATGAACGAATTCACAACAACAAACAAATATCATTCGAATCATTTCCGGTTCAATCCAATTCCGCAGACGCACTAGCGCCTCTGCCAGCCGTTACTCTGGCATTTGTGGAGAGGCTTTATCAGTTGTGAATCTAATCAGCTTCTCCACAATGGCTGACACCCGGCAGATGCCGCCAAACCCAGCTTTCCACTAACGCTGTGATCTGATTAGCCGGCGTAGAAATTGGTTGTGGAAATTAGTTCTGAACGGATACTAAGCCAATGTCTTTTGCACGCCCAGGCCTAACAACTGAAATCTGATTAACGGGGAGCTTCTATTTGTTGCATGATGAAAATGGATTATTGAAAGCGGCAAAAAGTAAAAGGGAAAGTAACTGTTTGGTCTTTTTTTATTTGGGAACACATGAAGCAATATGTAGCTGTACGATAAATTTGGGAAATCATAATGGTGCTTTAGAGTGACATGGTGGCTCTATGGGCTGCACTGTAGCCACGCCCCTTCAACGCTGAAGGTTTCCATGCCGACCTCTCGCTCTGTGTGATCGTGGAGCTTGCACGTTATCGTAGTGTTTGCACAATTTTCCCCCCTCAGATTTTTTGCTTGCCTCCTCCAATCCTAAATGATGTAGCTATGTGGTATAATGTGTGACTGTAGTCCTGGTGTCCTTGCATTACCTAGGACAGGCTGTAAGACCCCAACCAGCACGTATGGCTAGAAATTGGTTGGAAAATGTATGTTAAATTTGCAAAACGTAGTGAAGCTAGGGATATTTCAGGGGACTTACATTACCTATCTGTATCAATGTATTGAGTATAAAGCAATTTCACTCTGTATTATAGAAAGGACGTGTCCGAAAGCAAAAGGCCTGGCCCTCATCAGTTTATGCTATGCTGATTTAAGAGAGCAAAGCAGTAAGTTTTTTTTATGTTACTCAGGTTGTCTACTTATCCCATTTTAAAGGTGCCAGTTCAATCACCCATTACATTCTACAGTGAGCAGTGACACCTCCACAGTGACTTGTGGGTCCAATCCCCGTCAGATGGGCCAGGATTTTCCACAAATTAACAAGATTCTAGACCTCTGGGTCAGTCAAGCTCAGTTAACAGCCAAAAAGGTAGCAGTGAAACATGGAAAAGCCCCTACACACCTGGATTTCACAGTACTCAGTATAAAACAAGTTTTCTGTGTGTCCAGGTGAGTCCAAGAACAACGTCCCAGCTCTCATCTCTTGGCTGAGCAATTTGCTCATTTAAGTCAAAAAACAGACTAGTGTTATACAGGCCCCTGCCCCTTTCACCTGAATGAATGAAAGCCCCCCATCCAAAACGATCATCCAAAATTTCTCACACAACTGCAAAAATTTATGAGGAAATAGTTCCAGGGAAGCCCGAGCCAGGAGTATTGAATCACTTGGGGTGCCTTTCCAAACCAAAACATCCCACTTGACCCATACAATCCTCTGATCCCGAAGAGAGTCTCTACTCAAACCTCACCCCAAAACCTCCACAGCCTCTCTGTGTTTTACAGGACACCTTAGAAAAGCACAGACAGGGTGTTCATCGAGACCAATGTCACAGTGGGAAGCCCCTTACTTCTCAAAAGACACAGCCACACGTCAGAAAGCGACATCATCACATTCTCAACCAGATCATACAGATTTACATCACTGCATCGCTATTCAGATTACACAGATTTAAATCATGACAGCATCCCTCTGCCAAACTGCATTACTACGGCCGCACGTTCGCCGCGGTCTCAGCAGAGATCCACTGCTGTTAACCGACAGCAACACGTCTGAAACCCCTCTTGCATTCTCAGTTTCTCACATAGAGTAGCAGGAAGTGTTTTCACGCCGAATGGGGGTGACAGTGGCAGGTTAGCGCTCTGCCTTCTCACGTGATCCCACCATTTCAACACAGTCTTGAATCGGCTTTAGTGGGACAGAAACACTGTCAGGACATTAGACCTGGGCTGCCTGGTTCATCCCATGCGAGCATTAAAGGCATTCTCAGCAAGGTGATAGGTTAGTGCCTGGTGGCTGACTTCCTGAGCCTCATATTAATTCATTCCCTCCATTCTCCCTGCAAACTGTACAGAATGGAAAAGGAGTAGAAGGTAAAAAAAAAAAACTCCCACAGTGGAAAGAAAATATGGATAAAGGAACTAGGGTCTCCAAACTGCCCTTGTGAATGTGTCAGTGTGTGTAACGGACTGGCATCCTATCTTGGATGCCCCCTCATGTTTTTCTCGGGTCATGTACACAAACTCTAAGCCCAGTACCTATAAGAGAACGGTATAACATGGGGTGAACATGCAAACTCCACAAAAACCTAGTGAACTGACAATTCAGACCCACTGTAACCTGAAAATATATACATACTAATTTAAGTATTGATAGTGTTGGTAATTACAGAACACATGACATTGTGCCGGATATTGTGTCTACTAAAAAATTACATCATTTCAAGACATTAA